CCACAATCTCAGCCCCTGATTTATGCTTCCTAATTGAAGAATAAAGCAGGTAATGATATGTTTTTGTCTCAAAGCATGCTGAAGTGAAAAGACAAGTCAGGTATTATGGTCTGTTTTCTGGGTCTGTGGGCTTTATTCATTTTCTTTCTCCTCCTACCAAAGTACAAGGAAAAAGAGGCCCACCGTTGTTTCCCCTTTACATCTCTACCTACAGTCTGCTTTCTCCCTCTGACCTCCTTGACACCCCTATTCCTGGCATTAGTGTAGTGCTTTTGATCAAGATGATCAGACTTACTTGTCAGATTCGTCCTATATCTTGATGCTATTCACACTCTTACTTTCTAAGACTTTCTTCTCTTTGGCTTCTTCACAGTCTCTCCTGGTCTGTTCTAACCTTTTGTACCATTAGGCCTCAATCTTGACTTCTGGAATTATTCTTGATCATTCTTTCTTCTCCTGTTTGCTAGTCTTTCATCTTTATATTTTAAAACAAAACAAAAGAAAACAAAAAATTTCATGAACTCTCCCAGGATGGTCTAATTCACATCATTGGCCTTAACTACCTCTTTTATACCTAAATATCTCCTCATCCCTGAACTATCTTGTATGTGAGACTCCAATTTTCAGCTGTCTCTTTTATATTTCTAACTATGAGACTCTAGGCGACTCAAACTTCATGAACTCAGCCCAAGTTCATCCTACTTAAAACCCATTTCCTCGAACTCCCTAAATCATGCCACAAACCAACCAGTTATACTTACCAGGTACCTATTTTGACCTTTAATCCCCCAGGTACATTTTTCACCTTTGCCAACAGCCTATTTCCCAGGCTGCTCTGTCTCTTGGTTTCTGACCTAGTGGCCAAGGTGAAGCAGAGGCGGAGAGGTGAGGAGAAACCAGGGTACCACACAGGCACGCTCTTACGCATGTCACCGGGCAGTACTGAGAACAGTTGCCACTTTCCTGGTTGGAATCAGCATGAAATCCTTCTTTCTTACCCCTTCAGATTCACCCACTGCTCCTTTCTGTGCCATGTACACTGCCATTGACTACAACTAGTCTTCATCATTTCTCCCCTACATTTGGGTAATAGACTTTATATCCCCTAGTTTACATCTCTTCTTCCAATCCATTTTCTGCACTGTTGCAGAGTGAACTTTCTAAAATGATAATCAGATATTTACTCTCTCTTTTAGACTAAGGCTGATGATAGCCATCTTCAAAGGAAGATTACTCATAAGTGAGTCCTTAAAAATAAGGTCACCAGGTCTTGGAGCACATGCTTGTGCAACTTGGTGACAACCAACTAGTTCAAGGATATCACCTGAAAGCACTGGTCTCAAGGCTGTGGGAGGAACCAATGACCAAAAGGTAACCAGGCTAGAGGACTTTTGACCATGACCATCAGTGTTGCGGTATGACTTGTCAGCCTGATTAGATCCCTTGGCAATTCTAAATGAGAGGCAAAGAAGCAAGAGAGTGGAGTAGAGGCCAAAAGAAATAGAGTGAAGGTATATGAAAACCACGAGACAGCAGAAACAATAATACACCAAGTTCATAGCAGTAGGTAGTCAGCCATAGAAGCAGCAGTTATAAATTCAGTGGAAATAGCAGCAGTAGCATCCAGAACCAAAGAGGATGCTGCTGGGGTTGGGCTGGGTGTGAGCAATTGTGAGGTGAACAGGGAAAAGTGACCATTCACCTACTGAATGATTCTGTACTTCCTACATCTGTGTATCCTTAAATAAACCTCACTCACAATGCTTATGTTTTCTTTCCTCCTCTATTTTCCATGTCTCATTCAATTGCACATTCAGAATACTCAGGCAAGGCACTTAGAAAGTTTGGGAATTGCTTTCTCTCAACTGCAGACTCTCATAGTGCCAAGTCCTTGGTGATCTTGCCTTGAGTTCCTTTTGACTGGACTGGCCCCCATCTCTCAAAGCAGCAAAATAAACACAGGCCATTGTTTTCAATGACCGGGAGCAAACCAACAGTGTTAAGGATTCTCACATGACTCCGGGCCTTTGTATTTACTGTTCTTGAGTGCCTGGAATGACCTAGAAAAGGGAGGTCTTTTTTACTTTCAATATTTATATCCTTTAACATTCTTCTCACTGGACCCCAACAGACAGGTAAAGGTCTGGTCTTTGCTTTTCTGACACTTGTATGAGCTTACCACTGCTTTAAAATCTATTTGCTTGCCATTCTTTCTCATTAGACTAAGCAACTATACAACTAAAATTTTAACTAGTGCTGGCTGGGCATAACTCTAATTCCAGCTACTTGGGAAGCTGAGGCAGGAGTATCTGAGAACAGCCTATGTGATTGTCAGATCCTGTCTCCAAATAAAACATATAAAAGGACTGGGGATGTGGCTCAGAAGTACACCGCTCCTAGATTGAATTCTTAGTAGTTCCAAAAAAAAAAAAAAGATTCTAAGTAGTTCATCCTCTTGTGGCCCTATGGTCCTGTTTAGAGTACCCAGAAAATGTATAAGAAATTAATACATTGATTGGTGGAAGGCTTGTCCAATTCCTGTGAGACCTCCAAGACCTATTTGGTATAGTGGAAAGAACTCGGCAGCCAAGTTCTTGATCTCACTCTGAAGCACTTTGACTCCTCTGATCTTTTGCATCTGTAAATATGTTCAGATATTTAAGGTTTCAGTTCAGGAATGTTTGGTGCTTGCCTGTAAATGCATTTCAATAATGGCCCTGCTCATACCCCAACCCTTGCCACCCACACTGCTGGATGCTTTGGTAACACTATAAATGTGGTTACGGAGTTTATAGCATAGCTCTCATTAGTTGTTGTTACTGCTTAATTTCGGAGAATGGAGAAGAGATTTGTTGTTTAATATTACACATGCCTTCATAATCAAGGTAGGCTTTGAGATGTAGATAACACATACGTCTGAAGGCAGATCTGCATAAAGTTCTATTTCAGACATGTAAATAAATCTATATTCAATAAATGGAGAAGGAAGCTTGAACGGGCAATATTCTTTAGAGCTACCATGTCAAAAAAAGTATTTGTGACCTACTTTTATGTATTTCAAATCCAAAGAAAAGAGAGAACAATATGTAAAATTGATTTTATTCAACATGTATGCATATCAAATATAAAATTAGTTTATCTGACAGAGGCTGGGTTAAAACTCTCCAAATAGATCATATAAAACAAAGATTGGCCACTATTTCTCATATGCTTCTCATCCATAACAAAAGAGTTTTGTACTGCCACAACTTGATATTACTGGAAAACATTTTTTTTTATATTTGACATTAATAGTATGAAATGGAAAACGGAAAAATAAGAACTATAACTGTATTCTGAAGAAAAGTTGAAGCAACAAATTCATACTTGATTTTCCTTAGAAAGAAGCATCTCTAGCAGAGCAAAGACCAGGAGCATTCAATATATACACATAGTGACCAAGTTAATTTATTTTTCAGGAATCTTTTTTTTTTTTTTTTTTTGGAGAGAGTGCAGGACTCTTCCCTAACACTCCACCAAGAGTTATTCATGAGTAAAATGAAAAGATTTGACTAAAGTCTATTTGCACTTCCTTGACTTGTTTGCTTTCTATCCTCAAAATTATAGACCCTTATTTGAGATTGAGGATTTAAGCTAAATCTCTTGTCCATTCTTGCACAAGCCTCCATCCTTCCACCATATTTTTGGGAGTTAGCTTTCTGTACTCCAAATCTCCACTGCCTGTATATAAAGTCCAAACTTCTTGGTCTGCAGAAGACTTAGACCACTTGACCATTGCTTTCCTTTCCTGATATCTCTACCCACCACACTTATTCTGCTCTGGCCCTTGAACCACTTACAATTGCCTGAATTCTCTTTGCAGTTTAATGTTTTCCATTAAAATAGAGTACCTCACAGCTATGCATGAGCCACGTTGTTGCAGTTTTCATGCATTTACGTATACTGTTTCCAGCATGTAAAATGTCCTGCCCAAGATCTGTCTCCTGGAAAAATAAACACATATTTTCAAGGCACTACTCAGTTCCTATAATTTTGGCCTTGTCAGTTATTAAACCCAACCACTTTTCTTTCCATGCCTTCAATTGGCTCTATTCAGATGTCAACTGCTGAAAGTCTCTGCCTACTAGGCCATCAGCTTTAAAGATCCACATCTCTTGCATCTTTTCATCCTAACACATGACTGGTGCCTGACACTTGCATCAACCTATCTAAGCCCCAACGAGTTCTCTCAACTTCCATCTAGGGCAAAGAACAAACTAATAACGAGAAATGCCATCAGATACTACTCGGTTATGATTTTACAAGTTAGAATATAAATATATAAATATAAGGGCCTTGTAGGATCATAAGGATGAACCATAAGTGGTTGAGTCCATAGAAATTCATAAACTGCTTCAAGTTAGGAGACACAAGGTTTTCTTCACTGCCATCATCAGGAAGGCATGCTCTCTTTCTACCTTGTTAAACAACCAAATTTAGCACAGGAAACAAAGAATCTCCCTTTCTCCTAAGAAGTTCAATAATTCTGGTGTTGTGGAACATTAAATAAATAAAACCTTCCTTCCTGCTCCCTCTTTATCAGTGTGATAAGATCACTTCATACTATTCTCAGCTTCATGCCTAGCACTGCCTCCTTCAAATAAGATGACCTTTCAGGCAAATTGACTTGCTTTTTCTCCTCTATTCCCATAGCAGTATATATACTCTGTAACAGTTAAGTTTTAAAACAATATTAATTCTAGAGCATGAAGTTGCAACAGTTCAGTGCCTAGCACACAATGAGCACTTGAATGATGGATTAAAGCTTGGTTAAAGGTATGAAGTGAGTCAAGAGTAATTACGTTAATTCTATCTTTAAGAATTTCCTTGTTGGTCCTTGAACATGGCGAACACATGACACACACAGGAGGATCACAAGTTCAAAGGGAGCTTCAGCAATTTAGTGAGGTCCTAAGTAATTTAGCAAGACCCTGTATCCAAATAAAAAATAAAAAGTGTTAGGTATGTGGCTTAATGGGTAAGCGCCCCTGGGGTTCAATCCCTGATACAAAACTAAAATAAAATAAAAAGTTCCTTATCTTTGAACACAGATTTAATTTCAAACAGTGTTTTATTGTTGTTGTTGTTTTTTCCTGCCTTTAATACTCAAGACTGCAAAAGAGTGTTAATTATTTATGAGGACATTATATTTTGAAGAAATGAATTTATTTAAACAATCAATACAAGGGTAAGAAGTGAAAAACCACTAGCACAATGGTTCTCATAGTGGTTGATATTCTGCATACATTCCTAAGATAACTTTAAGTGAATGGAATAGACCCACAGAACACCCATATTCTTTGGTATTGCCATTAAGTGTTTTAATTTTAAAAATTTGAAAACAATTAAACACTTAAATTGAATAATTAAACACAAAGTTTAGTTCATATTATAATACAACTGAATTTATGTGGGCAAATTAAGGGTGATAAAACTTCAGTTAAACTAAAATATGCTCTTTAAATTTGTTCTAATTGGATCAATAGCTGACCTCACTGTCCTGATGATTTATTGTTTTGTGATTCTCAATATTAATAAAGCAATTTTAATAGTTGAAATACAATCTATTTTGTGATTGATTTTTTGAATCTGGTAATTTTGCAAAAATGCCTCGGGATGGTGTTAACGCTGCTGTGTCTCGCCAGCCGCAGTGAAGTCAACTTACATGCTAGGTAGCATGGAGACACTTCAAAATTATTTCACCCAGTAATTTCCTTTGGTCCTACTTATTTGGGTTTTATATTCTGGTGTAGCATCATTATTTTAAGGACATAAAGTATGGCTAGAAATGAAATGGAGACAACTGATCAGAAAAAGAAATCTGTAAAAAAATTATACCATACGTTACTGGTAAAGGCTTCAATAGATAACCAATCAATCACATATATCTAATGGTTCAAGGCACAAGAAAACAGATTGGACTTGCTTTTATATTCGCCTCAACAGATACCCTATAATAACCACACCAGTATAATAGAGCAATCAAGAATAAACTTAATTTGTCTTTTAATTGGTGCATATGTGGATATCTCCAAATACATTTGATATATATATATATATACATATATGTCCAATATCCAAATTATTTTAATCCATATCCATTTATTTCTCAGATTTAAAATAACAATATTGACACATAAAAGGAAAAAGTTATCAATGCCAGGCTTCTGATTAAATAATCAAATCAGATTTAATGCTATTGTAGCTATTTCTTCAGGAAAACACAGACTTCCACACTTACTGGTCAGTTACTTGTTCATTAAACTTTTAACTTTGCCTAGAATGATTTCAAGTAATGAAAATAAGATTTCTTGACTTGCTTGGGATAATATATAATATGCAAGAAAAAGGACATTGTGTTTTGGTGGTGGTTCTTTTAAGCCAATCATCAAACATGTTTTCATCTGCATTTGGAAAATGCTTTCAGTTTAATGTTAAGTTTTTCAATAAAACAAAATAAACTTACATTAAATTGGTTAGCACAGTTGTTAAGTCTTCCAATCTTCAAATTCAAGACTCACAACCATGATTGCAGAAGAAAAACACAACACAAATAATCTCCTCTGGCCATCACCTTAGGGGCTGATTTTCTTGTACTGTCAAATTCTATCACAAGCTGTCACTTTTCCAAGGTTTGGATAGTGCTTTGCAACAGAACTGCCTGAGAAGATTCAGAAAGCCTTTGTTCTTGGGCTTACATGGTAAGCACTTGGTGTGATTCTTAATCACATTTTTATCCAGAACACAGGGTTACAGGTCACATTTTTTGTTAACAAGGCTTATAGTGATTTGTGCTCTATAAATATAAATACATTTACATGCTGAATACATACACACTAATGTGGGGACATGTAATTAGGCAACCATCCATAAGCAGAATGGAATAATAATTGCAGGAAAGGTAGTATATGATGCCAGGCCCATGCAGACTATAGACACCAATCCCAAGATCGCTGAAGCAAGAACACTTCTCTGATCACGAATAATTATCTTCAGCATCTCAAAAAACTGGAAAATAAAAGTTAAGAATGTTAGGAAAGGTAGCTAAACCTAAAAGAATCACATATACCAAATAGCAAAACAGTTTTTACAACTATTTTCTGTCTACCAGGAGAACTAGAAATTCCTGTGTGATATGTGAAAAAATTTAAAATGTAGATAACTCAGTTTCTTGATTCTATATCCTGAATAGGTGAAATAATACAACAAACAACTAGGTTAATAAATTTTAAAATATAGAATTTTATAGAAAGCTAAAAGTTATTCAGGATGAAAGGTTAAAAATATTCAAATACTTGTTAGTATTAATAGCATGTTCTAAAATTACATAAGAAAGATCTCTAATACTGTGTAAAAAACAGAATTAAGTTTATTGTTAGGGGGAATTCAGTTTTTCTAATTCACCATTCTAAATATGCTCAATGTCAATAATAACTTTATATAAAGCTTAAAATCTGAAGGCATAAAATTAGTCTCATTTTGTTGTCATATCCCATTCCCTGTCTAAATATATTATATTCACCGTCAATTATATGCACACATAAATTGGTTACTGGAAATAACCTTCAGTAATGCATTCTCTTAATGTGTAGTTTTTTCTTAGAAAAACCATTTTACTTGGAAGCAATGGCCTCTGTTGAATTCCTGAATCCACCTCTTATTGACTGAGTGATCTCAAATAAGTCACTTAACCTGTCAACTCCTCTTCATAGAAATACCACTCCTCTTCATAGAAATACCATGGCAACTGTGGGGATCAAATGAGATCTTCTATGCAACAGTGTATTTTATATTCTTCTACAAGTTATATAAATGTAAAGTATTATAATGATTATTATCACTGTTGAGAATCTCTACCTCATCATTGTCACTGCAAGAATTTAACGATTATCATTTTTAAAGAGTTTTTCTATTCATACTAGATTTAAGCTCTTGTTCCAGAACATGGCATTGTGTATGATTTTAAGTTCTCTTATAGTGTCTTATAGAGTATTGGACAGCGAGGTTTCCAAAGTTTTTCTTCTTGTTATATTGACCAAGATAGCTTAGAACATTGAAGCTTAAAAAAAAAAAAAATCCTCCTGCTTTAGCTTCCAAAAGCCTTGGGAATATTTCCATATTAATTAATTTGTTTATTTATTTTGCAGTGCTGAGGCTCAAGTTCAGGATCTGGCACATGCTAGGCAAATACTGTACCACTGAGCTGTATCCACAGCTGGGTTTCCAAGTTCTTTCACCAGGGATTGAACTCAGGGGCACTCGGCCATTGAGCCATATCTCCAGGCCTATTTTATATTTTATTTAGAGACAGGATCTCACTGAGTTGCTTAGCCCCATACTTTTGCTGAGTTCAAAAACTCTCCATCCTCCTGCCTCAGCCTCTCAAGCTGCTGGGATTACAACAAGTGTGCACACCTTGCCCAGCTGGTTTCCAAGTTCTTAAAGGAGACAATAAACAAGTTCAATACAGTCATGAGTCACAATAGTGACATTTCATTGACAACTGACCACACATAGAACATAGCCCAGTAAAATGATAATGCTTATGTAAGTATACTCTATCATGTTCATACAATGATGACATCTCCTAACTGTGCATTTCTCATGTCACTAAGGATGCATGACTGTATATTTTAAAAAATTTTTTCCTAGTTGACCTTTATTGATAAAATTCACATTACATGGGATTTTGAGATGCTCCTTAATCAAGTTTTATAATAATGAATTACATTTTAAGTTTTTCTTTTCTACAAAACTAATGTGAAGTTTCTTTCTTATAATTTATATCATAGATTGTTATGCTGAATTTTATAAGGTTCATATTTAATAATCATTAAGTCTTCTGTTAAATTGCTCATAAGATAGCAAAAGATATTAACAGTCAATGCTAGTAAAAAATAATTTCCACTTTAGTCTGTAAGCAATGAGAAAAATTGTTTATTGATTTTCATTTCTTTTAAATAAGTCAAGAAAGATGTCAACTAGAAAACAGGGTAGTTTTCTAGATTTATGTTTCCTTCAAGATATATTTCCTAAACACAGAACTGATAAGGCATAAAACTGCTAAATTTTACTTCTGGTGGAAATAAAGTCTGTGGTGAACATTACTGCCATATCCTCTGTCCTCACAGGAGTGGATCCATTCAAAATTTGTTCTCAGTGAATGACTATATATTTTAACATACTATCTTAACTGTGCATAGTTATCCCTGTTCATACTTTTACATATTATTTAAGAGAGAAACATCCTGTTAATCATCCTGTTAATCATCCAGATGTTGATCTATTTATAGGTCAAGCATTTGATTTGTTTCTTTTTTTAGTATTTATTTTTTAGTTTCAGATGGACACAATATCTTTATTTTATATTTATGTGGTGCTGAGGATCGAACCCAGTGCCTCATACATGCTAGGCGAGCACTCTGCCATTGAGCCACAACCTCAGCCCTGATTTGTTTCTTTTCTACTAAACTAAAACATTAGTTAATAAGAACATTGTCTTAAAAGTAGTGATGATCAAAATGAATGAAGTTTTCAGGACAGTTAGAAAAGGAGGTTGGAAATACCAGAAGGCGTATTTAGGTAAGTAAGTTGTCCTGATACAGTTATGTTTGCTTCTTCTTCATCCTACTAGTGAAGGCAAACTAAGAATTGGGGCGAATTCTCCCCTGAAGCAGTTTCTCTCAAAGAGCATTTCATTTCTAATGTTCCAGTTCTTGTTCAGTTGGCCATCAGCCCAGGAGGCATCTCTAGAGGTACTGAACAGTAGGAAGTTTCTAGAAAGGGATCAAGAAGCCTGTAGGGATACTTTTGTGAGTGCTGAATTCACAGAAAATGAAAAATTTTCTGTTTCCATTGGTAAAAAAAATTAGTAAGATGTAGAGCAATTTTCTGTTCACATTCATTTTGGCAAAGAAAAAAACAGTATTAGCAAAGTCAGAAAAAAACATCATAGGAGAAAAAGCATAAGGCGTTGTAATCAAAGGATTTATAAAGTATAATTATAAAATTATGATTTACAAAATCCTAATGATCAAAAGCAATATCAAAATCTCTTAGTTTTATGGCTTCTAAACTTGTAAAAAGAATTTATCACAAAGAACTAAAAGGTTCTTTCCCAGTTCATTTTCAAACTAACTGCAGTGTTTTTCTGAGGGAAAACCTTTGGGAGAGTTTTGTGTTTTTTTTTTTCCAACATGAATTTAAGTAAGAGACCACTTTAACACGCTCATGTTAAGATGATAATAGCTTTGAATATGGAGATTTCAACAATCGAATCCAGAATCAAATAATTTCTTATATTTCTAAAAAGTAGAACTTCTTTATTATGAATGGCCTACTTCTCTCTGGGAAAGTTCAAAAAACAGTTCTTAGAATTAGAAAATTTGGGGATGAAGATTTTTTTTCCCCCTGAGGAAATCTAGTCTGTGGCCAAAATTGTTTGTTAGACCATTCAAAGTGAAGACAAAAACTCAGTTTCACAAGAGGTGCTATGCAGCAACAGTAATTAAAACACTTCTCCACTGCTGCTAAACCTGACAAAGTTTCCAAAGATGAAAAACTACTACAACTAGTTATTTATGCAGATTATTTTACTAGCTTTAAAAAGCACTTGTACTCTGTTTCTGTAGAAATATATAATATAGTGCTCCATGTGTTCCATGAAGAAGTAACTCCTAATTACTAGATAGAAATACTGTTTTTCCTTGGAGAAATGATTTGCTTGGTTCTTAAGTAAATCTGACGTGTTTCCTTTTGCATACTTTTAGAGACAGTGTTTGTAAATGTGGGCAAGTTCATTTCTAAACAGGCCTGGACTGGAGCTGTGATTCTTGAATCATTTCACAGTGTTCTAACTGTATTTTAATTTTGCTTGGGAAAGAATTCCTAGATTGAGGCTGAGCTCTATAAAAAATCTACAGGGGTTTCATACATCAATGTATAAAAACATAATACTTTCATGCTTTGTGGGGCAGGGAGTTCCCATTTGGGTAAAAAAAATTAGTAAGATGTGGAGCAATTAAAAATCTAAGATTTGATTATATTTACTCAGATTCTTCATCTAAATGTGAACAGGAATATTAAAGCTCATTGTGTGTTCACCCAGGTTTCCATTAAGAAGAGTGAATATTAACAATACCTCTTTAACAACTACAGTGAAGGCTGAGAAAGCTTCCAATTGCAAATGAAGTGGCAGGCTTAAAATGTTGACTATCTTTAAAAGTTAAGAGATTCCAAAAGAAAACAATCTGCCCCCGCCCTTGGATTTGTGGCTCATTTAAGAATCTTAAATTGTAATACTGTTTTTTCAAAGTTCCTGTAAAAATTACCTTCTAACATTTAAAGAGCTCTTTTTGAAAAATCAATAGATTTGATCCCTGGGGAACTTGTAAATGCCCTAACTATCTTTGGAGCTAATGGATAAAGGATGGTTAACAATGAGGGAGTTAGATGGGGATTAAAGTCAATACAGGAAAAGATTCACAGTACAAGTAGAAAACTTCTCTGAAGCAAAAAAAAAAAAAAAAAACAAACAAAAAAAAAAAAAAAACAGAAATAAAGGGTTTATCAGGGATGTCCTAATAGCAGGACATTTTGGTAGTTTATATTAAGCTAAGGGAATTCACTCCTGGGAGCTTACAGAGGGACAAATATGCACACTTCCTTATTTTAATATTTATAATATTATGGATTAAATAAATACAATACACACCTTCCTTCCAATTGCAATTCTTGGGAAAAGTTGCAAGTTACTGCAAAAGATTTCCTGAGACCCCTCAACCACTTGCTCTTTGTCATTTGAATTACTATGGTTGTGTATATATCTGATGACTTCTGCAGCAATAACAGGGCTGCTCTCTGGATTTGCTGGAAGCGGTCCTGCATGGCTACAGCCTTTTCCTGAGCATATCCTGCAAAGCTCTTCGACATTTATTTTACTTACTTTGTCTCCCTTAGAAACATCAGAGCTTTCCGTACTTAATCTAGAACTCTTAAGAATGGTGAATGGTGTGGAAATAGTGGGGGAGGTACACAAGATTCCTGCTACCAGGGAAGAGAAAATGTCAGAGATGGTAGGGGGCGTCCCCACCGAGCCCAACTCCCTAGAGTCATACATCCTACCTTGTCGACCTGGGGGCTGATCGCGGAACCGTATCTGCAGTAAGTTACAAAGTGTTCGCAATTGTTCCACAATAGGCTGTAGGAGGTCAGACCCAACAGTTTCTCAGCCCTCCGGGCCACCTCCTCGTTGAGCAGAGCCTTCTTTTTGACGTACTGGTCCAGGTGATTGACAAGGATGTCGGCTCCATAGGCGAAGTCCTCCACTGTGTCCACGCGGATGCTGGCCACCTTACCAATGACGCCCAGAATGAGACGCTTGTTGGAGACCACTTTCTGCGTGCGCTTCTTGTCATTGGTCAGAGCCAACAAAATGTCGGGCATTAGGTGTGCGACACGGTTGTCGCCCAGGTAGATGCCATAGTGGGTCAGGTGGGTCCGGGGCACTTCCAGTAAGTCGCCGCGGAGGAAACAGTTGACCTCATAGAATTTTTTCCATCCTTTTTCTTCTCCCGGGATGTCTAAACTGAAAAACCTGAAGTTGGAGAAGAGGACCAGCTTCTCCAACAGTAGGGACACCACCTCCAGCATCGGGTTCTTCATTCTGCAAGGAAGAGTGAGTCTTGGGAGAGGTGCTGCTGCAGCTGCTGTGGCCCGAGTCCGGCTGTGCAAGGTAAACTCGCCAGACAGTGGCGCTGCGCTGCTGCTCACCTGCAGGCCCGCCAGCGACCCAAAGCCGCGAGGTAAAGCGACTGCTAAGGAGGGAGACAGAAAAGGAGCGGAGGGAGAGAAGCCTGGAAAGCAGCTCTGCCAATTCTGACTGCGGGCTGAAGAGGGTGAGGAATTAGAGTAGCTGCCGACCGCGGGGACAGTGGGACCCACGCTCTGAGGAGCGAGAGAAGAAGCACACCTCGCGGAAGGTGCCGGGGTGCAGAACCACGCGCCTTCGTCCAGAGCACTGCTTTCGCTGCGGCTTTTATCACCGTCGAGGGGGCGGGACGAACGCGGTCATTGACTCGGCGAGAGCACTGATTGGGTGCTGGTGAGAGCACTCGCCCGGAGGTAGCAGGACCCAGGGTTCTTTGGAAGCCCGCGGGCAGAGCCCCAGAGCTCTCACGTTCGGCACCTCGTCCCCCTTTCGCCGTGGGCTCTGTCTTGCACTGAAGCCCGAAGTACTCTGGCCTTTAGGCGGCTGATTTAGAGGCCGAAGGCGTGGCCACGCGACAGATCCTGCACCTGTCGAGACTGGGGCACGTTCTCAAAACTTCGGAATCTTCTTCAGTGGAAAGTTTCCTAGGGCGCGATTTCTGAGTAGGACCACTCCTTCCGAAGGGATGGATACCCAGAGACGTTGGCTTCCTAAAGAGTTTGCATTCACTCTGCCAAGTGTGCGCTCCTGGAAAGCCTGCAAATTCTTTCTCAAAATGATATCTCCCCCGCCCCCTTAAGTGTCCCGAATCCCTGGTGCTTTCAGGAAGAACACGGGTGGATGGGGTTGTTACCCTCGAATCAGGATCCCAGCGCAAGCGATTGGAACTCGAGGACCCTCTGCGCTCCACAGTACCAGTGGCCGTTGAGCGCGCGGCAGTCCAACCGTCAGCATGAAAAACCGTGAGGCCCCAACGTCCACCAGGAAAGGAGGATTCATGTCTAGTTTTTTTTCTGGCGTTAGGGTCACACGGCCCAAGCTTCGGTTTACTCACGGAAACGTTACCGATTTCTCTTAAAGCGCAGCGATCCTGAAGTGCCTACGGGAGGCTAAACACTACGCGTCTGCAGCCTGAACCAGGCGCATCCGCGAGGGTGGTCCCCGCGAGTCGCCGTGTGAGGGAGCTGCTGATAAACTGGCCACGCGATGTCCCGACCCTGTGCTGAGTTCCGTGCTAATGCATTATGTAAATGCTTAAATTCCGCGGACAAAGGCCACAATGGAGAGCCTCAGTTGGCTCCACAAAGCCGCCTAGCTCGGGGCTAATAGGTTTAATCAGAGAGAAGATTGTCGGCTTGCCTGGGGGAGGGCGTTCACTGCGGATGATGGATGAAGGGACATTCATTTTACCTGGAAGATGAAGGGGGCTTTGGAGACCAGATGGGAAGGAGACCGGCTTCCCATTATCCTCCTCCGAGGCCACCTCTTACCCACCCCTCTCCGTCTGCTTTTAGTGATCTGTCTCTTGGCAGTGACTTTTGTTCGTTACACAAACCACTGCGAATCCCATTATGGTGTCAGGAAAAAAAGAAGAAACTTGTACAAACGAATCAAAGGAAGAAGGTGGGGAAGGGAGAGAGTCAGTGGACATGGACAGTTTTAAAAACTTATTTCCCTAATCTGTCCCCTGAATTCAAAGAAAAGTGCGGGGCTAGAGGGTTTCTGAAATTAATCAAACACTTCTGCACAAGGGGGGAGCTTGTTTTCTTTTAGCAGCACACTAAGGCAGCAGTACCAACAGTTCGTACTTCCTTAAAATGGGGGAAGGTCCGTGGAAAATTTAGAATGTCTGATCCAGATTTGGGCTGGTATGTTAACTGTAGATTCATCGTCCGACTCGCAGGCTCTGGACTCGCTGGAAACTATACTGGAGCTTGTGTCCCGGCCAAATGGCCCCAGAGATCAAAAGAGTCTTGGTAATTAGCAGTTTCCGTCTCTGGTGGTCACTAACGCTGCTTATAAACTTGCAGGAGACAAAAGCATGGGGTTGCATAGAGATTTTTTCTAGATGAAAATATATTGAGAGGGAAGGCTCTACAGATTCTCAGCCTCACCCACGGGACGTTTTGGGGAGAGGCAGGTAGTGCCTCGCTGTTTTGCATTTGAAGTTATTTTTTCTCTTGCCTGTTGGGGTCAAGTTTTGGACTGCCTTTTTTTTCTGCAAGGGGGAATTGGTGTAGTTTAATATTGCAGGTATTCTGCAGCTTGGGAAATGAAGTTTCTGGAAGATTATTGGTTTTGCCTGTGATAAATACCGATTGTTAAGCCATAATATAATATCATTAAATATATTTTTCTCAATGGAACTGCCTGCCCCACCTGCAGGAAATTCAGCTTTGGGTAACCCGAAGCAGGCAGCCAAATGTCTTTTATGACACTTCTGAAGTCTTCCAACCCCTTAATGTAGAGGGGAGGTGTCACCCCATGATTTTCAATTGAAGAATGTAAAGTCGAATGAGCATATATTGGCTAGACTGCTTTATGTCCCTCACTTCTTGGTCAAGGATCATTATTATAACCTTACCTTGCAAAAGGCAGCTTCTTGACGTTTTCTCAAGAGTTGCATATACTTCTGTGGCTGTCAGTTTTTGACAGTCAGTTTGTCTTTAGAGACAAACAATACAAATACATTTACTCACTAACAGGGTCACATTTTCAGACTTTCCTGCTGCATCAAAGCTGCATGAAGGGAAACCGGTCACTGTTAGGAAATCCCAAAAGAAATCTGATATTAGCAGGTCCCCTAAATTTGAAAGGGCCTTTGGGAGACAAGAGTAACCAGTCTGCTCCACCTTCATGCCAGTAAAGGTCACTATAAAGATCTTTCTCTCCTAGATCCTAAGTAAAAAGTTCTATGTGCAGGGGCTGCAGTTGTGGCTCAGTGGTTGAGCACTTGCCTAGCTTGTGTGACGCACTGGGTTCTATCCTCAGCACCACATATAAAAAAATGAATAAAATAAAGGTCCATCTATGTCTTAAATACATGCAGATCCGGTAAGGCAATGTAGAAATATCCTCAACTTCCCTGGTCAACAAATAGCCAGATCTGAGCCTTCCACCCTCGTGAGGGCCACAGCCCCCCTCTAGGCTACAGAAAGAATGACAGCTATGATGTTCCTAGCTGTAGGTTGGCCAAGCCAGAGTCTATCAGCTGCAGTGCTCAGGCCTGTCAGTTTCCCCCAACTGTACAGGCCAAGATTAGGTTAGGTCTCAGCACAAAGGAGGCAGAAAAATGGACTCTCCCAGTTATCACTTTAAGGCCTGTGACCTCATGAAGAGTCTCCAGTTTCTGCTGTGGGGAACCAGGATGAAGAGGAAGTGTAGAGTCAGAAGAGGCCGAAGGCTCTAGGAGGCTAACAGATAATCTCACCTGTGGGGTCCTTACCTCGGAGCTGCCCTGTTTTGTGTCTGGAGAGGAGGGATGTGGTCATAATGTTAGTACTAAAAATAACTGATGATTATTGTATGCATCTTATGTGCTAGACTCTGAACTGAGCACTTTCTCATTTAATCATAACAACCTTGAAGAGGTATTTCTTTTTTACACAGAAAGAAATCAAGGCTTATAGCATTATCTGTCTAGGTCACAGTGCTAATTGGTTGATAAGAACTCAACCACAGGTCTCATTTGCCCAGAGGTTCTTAACCACCACTGGGGAAGGCCTGATCTTCCATCAGTCTATCTACCATATATTCATTTTCTGAGTACCTGCTGTATGCCAGGCACTATGTCCAGTCCTAGAAGTTCATTACAATTAACCCTTAAACATAGATCTTCTGTCTTTGGGCTTCATTTCTCCACCTCTCTAGAACCATGGTGTCCAATTTCTGGCATCAGTTATTGTACTGGGATAGTAAGAAAGGGCTGGTAAAGGTTTTGTTTAATAGAATATCTTCACCAGAAAGGCCTTCATTTGAATGTCATTGGGTAAATGACACTAGTCTTTTATCCTCCTTAGGCACATGCTTCTAGGCAGAAAGTTCAGTGTCTTTCCCAGAAGCAAAGAGTCAGGAGCAGAACCTAGATCCAGTCTTACTGATTTTTTGTTTTAGCCCATTTTTTTTTTTCCTGAGTGTCAGATTGATAAATTTGGGTCTAAATGGCATCATTTTAAATTCTTGTCCTCCTTTAAGATTATTTTGTTCTTCTTCTTCTTCGATCTTTTTTTAAAGTACTAAACCACTGGGCTCATTTAAATTCTTCTAAGATTTGTTGTTGTGGTTTTTAGATCTTATTTAGGTTACTAATCACTGGGCTCATAAATGATGTTTTCCTTCTGGGCTGTCCATCGACTTTGAGTTCATTTACATACGTTCAGATCTGGTCCTCTGGACACAAGCAGAGGGCCTAACTAGCTTACTCTACAGGGGTGATGAGAATAAAAGCTTTTGTGAAATTCTCCAGGGAATTTCCTCTGGGAAGCAGAGGAAAAAGAGCAGACTGGGCTCTCCTAACTCAAGGTTACTTGGAGTGTTAGGACAATAGGAATTAATTACCTCCTGGGAGGAAACTTTCCCCAGCTTCCTTCCTGGCTGGCTCACACCCTATTAGGAGGGCCTCTCTCCTGCCTATTGGCTTTAGAAAGCTTAAAGACTACAGTTGCATTTGATAATTTGTTGTTTGCCAACCACAAAGTCAGACATTGAGAAAAAGAATTTATATTTAGCATTATGCAAAATACGAATCCAAATGAATATAGTTTAATATAAAATTTACAACAGGTTGAGGCAGCTGTGATGTAGAGGAAGGGAGCAAAAACCTGATTTTAAGATCTGGCTGTCATGTTTCTTCTTAAGAACTTGGAATGGGGGCTGTGATTGTGGCTAAGTGGTAGAGCACTCACCTAACGTGAGTGAGGCACTGGGTTTGAGTCTCAGCACCACATATAAAAAAATAAAGGTCTCTCAATAACTAAAATAAATAAAGAACAATAAAGTTATTGTTGTTGGATATAACAACAATAACAATTCTAATTATGAGTCCCTATGGTAAAAATATTGGGTGACCCAGGATTGTTCATAAAAAAGAACGTGACAATAACCTTTGGCTACATAGTCAAAAGACAATTTCAGTGCCTCTGTATTCATACAAAAAATTTATAGGGAAATTGAGTATTGCTGTCCTCCAAACAGAATAGCATTGGCAAGCAGGAGAAATATGAAGTAGTAAGAACAGCATGTCATTAATACATATTTCTAAAATCCTTTCCAAATGTATATAGACATCCTAAAAATATGACAGATAACTGAATGCAAAACTCTTGTTAATATTTGATTTAGATATTCAAATCTCATCAGAGGTGAGGTCACTGATGCTTGAAAGGTGGATTAGAATGAGATGCTCTCTAAATCCCTCCAAGTGGGAATGATCTATAGTGCTATTTTGGACCATCTCCTGATGAATTTTTAAAAGGAATGTATTAGAGAAAAAGAAAGATAAATCACTGTCTCACACTTAGAAAATCTAAACAGGATCCATAATAACCATTCTAAAAGAAAAAGAAATCAGCAAAGTATTCCAGTAAAGTAGAAATAACTGAGAAGTGAGAAGACATTGAGCAGGAGTTTGCCAGAAACTGGTGTTGAAATCAATGGATCTTTTCAGAATATATCTTCAATTGCACAGAAATATTAAGTGATATAAACACAAGGGATCATCAATGTTTTAGAGCACCATATACTATTGACAAGATTTTGAAAAAAAAAATCCAGTAACTTTTTTTCTTGAAGATGATTTTAAAAGCTGTAATGTGCCAGGCACCGTGGCACATGCCTGTAATCCCAGAGGCTCAGGAGGCTGAGACAGGAGGTTTGAGAGTTCAAAGAGAGGTGCTAAGTAACTCAGTGAGACCTTGTCTCTCTATAAAATACAAAATAGAACTGGGGATGAGGCTCAGTGGTCGAGTGCCTCTGAGATCAATAAATCTCCAGTACCACCGCCCCCCACCAAAAAGCTGTAAAATTATGTTCCTCTGCCTAAGAGTTTAAATCAGAAATCACAGTACTTTCAATATTTAGTGTCTTTTGTTTTGGAGGGGGTTGTTTTGTTTTGTTGGGTTTTGTTTTGATTTGTTGGTGCTGGGGATTGAATTCCATGGCATGCTAAGCATATGGTCTACCTCTGAGCCATACCATTTTCTAATGTTTAATTAGTTTTAATTTAAAAAATAAAGCAGGCTATCTACCCTTTGGCCTAATTATTTCGTGTTATGACAATGTTTGACAGTTTGTATTTTTCTATCCTCAATTCTTTTATCTCTTATTTAATTGTAGAGGGTTGATATCTGGAATGGAGCACTCTTCCTTTTGTGATACCCTCTAAGGTCACCATTCCTACTGGCTTTAATCCTTGGGGGCCAGGCGGCATCTAGAAAATCAGTCTCAAATGCATTCTTGAACTGGAGAACTCAGGCTCATAGTCAGCATAAGAGTCTCTTAGAATAACTGTGTCATCCAGTAATGACCTCCTCCCACAGCAGAGTAAGGAACTGAGTGATCATGCTGAATTTTTCAGACTACCAAAGAAGACTCAGTAGGCCTTCACCTACCAATAGAAAAATCAGAGTTAAAGGGAGGTCTGGGACTAGGCCCAAGTTTTAGCTCAACTCAGGCATCCTCAACATTGCCATTAGATTTCCTAATTCCAGTCCAATGCCACCCAGAATATTGTCACAGTCACTTCCTGATTCTAATTGGCTAAACTCTTCACATTTGGTCCACTGTCTACAGGAGTGATGGTATCTATCATTTAATCCCTCCATCCCCACCCCATGACTCTTGTGTCTCTTCAGTTCCTGACCATTCTGTAACTCAATCTAGTAAGAGCTTTTAAGTAGTTTATTCTGCACACCTCACTGCCAACTCAAATATCATATGACAAAATCTAAACCTCCTTTCTGTTTCCTTAATCTGTGGCTCCTCCTGCATTTGTTTTTACTTCTTTTGAAATAGACTAAATTTTCTTATATGCCTTTTAGGCATATTGGATTTTCAAATAACAATTTGTTTTTTGTTATTGAAAAGATATTAGGTGAGGCTTAATGATAATTTAACCAAATATTTATTTTATAGATTAAAGAATAGATTGAAATTTCTCTTTACTTGCTTAGGTATCCTCAGTGCAAATTGTATAGCAGTTTATTTTTTTTTTTCAGAAAAAACAAATTCAAGAAAAGTAAGTAATTATTAATCTTAGAAAACTGATTTATTACCAAGAAGCTATTTTAATAATGTGTTTAATCAAAATGTGCCTTTTAAAAGCTAATTTTAGTAATATGATCTAGAAATACATCTTCTTAGCTAAAATAATGTTTTCATAATTGTTCTGAGTTCACAGTGGTCATTCAATAAAAGTCCTACTTACAATTTCATCTAACATTTATAAATTACATTTGTACTTTTTATTGTAAGTTGCACTTAATTGGATTAGTTATGAATCTCAAATCTGTTGGCTTGTATTCCTAAATTATTTTTATTTAAAAATTTAGAAGGTATTACCTTGGGTAAATAAAGGTCATCTTTCTGAGGTGACCTCAAAGTTCCTTTTAACTCTAAAATTCTATACTTCATTTTTTTTTATTTTCCTACACTTCTTCAAAAAAGACTAAAGTAACACATTTGAGTATTATCCCCTTAGCCAAATGTTAAATTTACAAATTGTAAAACAAGTCATAAAATGTGAACATAAGCCAGGAACAGTGGTACAGACCGGTAGTCGCTGCGTGTGGGGAGGCTGAGGCAAGAGGATCGCTTGAGCCCAGGAGTTCAGGGCCAGCCTCCGCAACAGAGTAAGACACTGACACCAAAGAAAGAAATATAATTAACATTTTATTTAACTTTTTTTTTGACACATAGTCTCACTATGTTGCCCAGGATGGTCTTGAACTGGTGGGCTCAAGTGATCCTCCTGCCTCAGCCTCCCAAGTAGCTAGGATTACAGATATGAGTCACCAATCCCAGTTTAGCTGTTTTAAGTTACACATTATATATAAAAATGTTTATAGCAAAGCATCAAACTTATATAGTTAAAGAAAAAAGTATACTATTTGCTTATTCCTGAATAAATAAAGATAAGAGGATAGGCAGGAATAGTGTGCTGTTAATGGAAACAGTACTGGATGAAGATAGCCAAGTGGCCAAGTTTCAAGTTCTGGATCTACTTCCTAGCTTTGTGACACTAGTTAAGTTACCCAACACATATGTTTATATCCTCTTTATAAAGAGATTGACGACAGAGAGGATGCCTACCTCATAAACTTGTTGTAAGGATTAAATCAATTAATGTGCATATATCATTTAAGAGCAACATCTGATAAGAACTGAAGAAATGATGGCTATGTATTATTTTTTTTTCTGGAATAGACTTAACAATCTAGTCATTGTCTATAACTTTCATGTACATTTGCAAAGGGTGGCAAAGATCCACAGGGCAGAAGGAAATGCTGTAAGTGGGAATAGGAGAATTATAATCTCTAATCTGCCTCCACAAATATTTATTGAACATTTAATCTCAACTTCTGTGCAGGCACACAGAAATACAACCAGGATTGGGATGCCGTCCTCTCCCTAATGGAACATAGAACCTGGTGGATGGAAGAGAAGAAAAAAGCATATGCTCAAGGTGAATGGTTTATTCAAACGGGAGCAGGGAAGACGAGGAAAGAGTAGCACCCAAGAAGAACTATCAGGAATCAGAGTTTGCTAGGTGCATGGCTGGCAGGAGGTGGGTACTGAGAGGCCAGGCAAAGGAGACAGCATGAATACAATCAAAGTTAAAACAGTCCAGTTCCACCAGAATGTAAGGACCTTGAGTCTTTGAAAGCAGAGGGAAGAGCTCCAGCTAGGCAGTCTTTGTGTGCCAGGGCCTTCAAGGCCAAACTAGGAGCTCAGACTTTGCCTTGAGAAACTTCCAAGCAGGGGGATGATATGATTCAAGGCAACCCTTGGTCCATGACCAGATAGAAAGCCATTTAGCAGTCCCAGGAAGAGGTGAAAAATAAGATGGAGAAAAGGGAAAGTTAGTGTTACTGACTGTTTCAGACCAGATTTGGTCATCAATTGCATGTGACAGTGGTGGAAGGGGTGGTAAGAGGAATAAAGAAGGCCAGAGGTGAGTCTGGAGTTTCCTGCTAGAGCAACTGGACACATAATGATAACCCCTCACCGAGACGAGGAAGGCAGCAATAAGAGGTCAATGTTGGGCATGTTGAGTCCCCCAGGGCTCTCTAACTTCCCAAGTAGAAAGGTAAGTGGGTGAAACAAGATCTCTGGAGAGAGATGTCTTGTCAAAAGATAGACTCAGTAGTCAGAAGTGCCTGGATGGTAGTGAAATCTTTGGAGTATATGAAACTACCCAGGGATAGCCCACACAATGAGAAGGGAAGGCAGCCAGGACAGTTCCACATAGAAGTCTGTACCAAGAAGCTGGCCAAGATGCCTGAGAAATGCACGGTAGATACCCACATGGAAGCAAGCCTTCTTTGGAGGGATACAGTTGGTGTCAAATGTAGGAGAGTTGGCTAAAGGATCAGGAAACCATTGAAGGAGGCAAGAAGGGAAGGATTGATGTGCTGAAGGAGTTCCATAGGAGTCTGACAGCTGAGGGTTGAGTTAAGAGGCAAAAGGAAAGGAAAAGCAAAGGAGAGAGAGGATTCTAGAGGCTTCTTCTGGAAAATTTTACAGAAAGGAAAGGAGAAAAAGGAGATTCAAATGGAAGAATTTTATTGTTTTATTGGTTTCTGTTCAAATGGGGAATACGTGTGAAGACATTTGTACATAAAAAGAGAAATTTGGGGAGAAGAAAGATACATGGCAAGGGAACACGGGATAGCTAATAGAAACAGGTCCCAGAGGAAATAGAAAGTCATGAGGTCACAGCTACAGGTGGGAGAGTTACAACTGTTGAGGAGTAAAGGCTTTCGTTCCATTGAGACAGGAAAGGAGGAAGGAGGTAAGAAGTATAAGAAGTGTTTGGAAGTGGAAGTCAAAAAGCAATTGGGTCTGGGGGTGCAGCTCAGTGGTAGGGTATATTTAGCATGGGCAAAGCCCTGGGTTCAACACCAAGATCACACACACACACACACACAAAAAAAAAAAAAAAGGAGAAAAAAGAAAAAAAGATTATTTTGTTTTTCACACCCTTTAATTTACCCTGCAGATTCTGAAGAAGTAAGCTTTCAAACTTACCAGTTGGGAATGACAAGTAGTCTGCGGAGGAGCCTCCAGGTTTGAGTGAACAGGGAAATTCATGGAAGTTACTAGTATTTAATAGATTGATAGAATAACAATAGGTCATTTGCTTCTGTTGTGAACCTTAATGAAAAATGATTTTTTTTAAATTTAATTCTTTTTGGAGCACTTATCTATAGAAAATTTTACATATAGGTTGCTAGGACCTTGCTCTTTCCCCTCCCCCATCTTATAATTTGTTAAGTAACAACAGATCCTCCCTTAGTGATGTCAATATTTAGTGTTGAATTATGAATATGGTGAGGAGCTAGTTAGGGAATCAAATTAATAATAGTAGCGAAATCATGCTTTCAGAGTAATTCATTAAATTTTTCAGTCATATTTTTATTTTATGAAATCTTGTATTTACTATAGAATAGAAAAATATTTACAGCTAACTAAAAGTGGCCTAATGTTCCCTGTACTAAAATGCAAAAATAACTGTATATATAAAACTCAAACTTAATTCAAGTTCCAAGTGTTAATCACTGTACTATTCACTTTTAAAAACTCTTTCCTACTGAGAACACATTGATTTATTTTTTGTATCTCCAAATTTAGTATGTAAATCCTATGAATGTGTTAAAAGTTATCTGGAAAAGCTAAAAGCGACACTATTATCTAATCTCCAGGCTTATTCAGAATATTAGCCAATTGTTCAAGTAATGTCCTTTATAGCAAAAGAAAATTCCAGATCATGAATTGCAATCAGTTGTTTATGTATTGTTGATCTTTTTAAATCTAGAACAATTCTTTAGTCTCTTTTTTCATGACATTGACATTTAGAGGAATATGGCCCTTCTGTTTTGTTTGTCCATCCAATGTTTCCTCATGATTAGATCCAGATTGTGCAATTTGGGGGCAAGAAATGGAAATTATGCATTTCCCTTTCAACACACCATATTAGTAACCACATGATGTTGATTTGATAGTGATATCTGGAATCTTAGGAGATCACCAGCCAGGTCCTGCTGATAAACATTGACTACCATTACTCAAGCTGCGGTTTGAGTTTCTTTTGTTGAATATACAGTTCTAGTTTTTGTCTCATCTTTGCTTCTACATACTATTGAATAAGATATCCAGTTATAGACTTACCTCTCCTTCCTAGAACCAATTGCTGCTGCCTCCCCAAATAACCTAACACCTGCCCAAATTCTACAAGTCCTTTTAACTATCTTTTACTGGGACACCCCATTGTTTATTGTGGTGTTTATTCCTCCTCACTGAAAAATTTCATAAACTTGGCTTGTTCAATTACATATGTGTTCTTGAGGGACTTGGGCTGCAAGGTATTGACACTACCCATGGTGATGTTGACCAATTAGTTAACTAATTGACCTGTCCCAGGTTTGTCCACTGAAAAATTATTATTTTCCTTTTGTAATGAATATGCATCCTGTAGGGAAACACTTGGACAATGTATATATGCTGATACTCCTCCAATTTTCTACCATTGGTTTTAGCTCCCATGGATGATTCTTGCCTGATCCAGCTATTACTATGATAGTTACCATATGGCAATTTGGCTGTTCTCAGCATTCTTTCTATAGCAGTGAATTATATCTCTATCACCAGGAAAAGCTTTCCATTCTCCTCTGCTTCTTAACATTGTTGTGGATTTCACCATATTCTTACTTTATCCAGTGGATGGCAATCCAGTGACATTATATTTATCTTATGATCAAATTGTTACAAATTTGTACCAAGGGAGCTCCTTCAAGCTGGCCCAGGTGTTGTTTTGATTTTTCATCATTGTTTTTTTGAGGACTCTTGCTGACACAAGATATTGCAGACTCATCTTTTTCTTTCTCAGTTCCAATTCTACCAGCAACCATTTCTTCATGCAGTCCTTTTTCCTTTTAGTGTAGGATTATATTTAGAAATAAAAATCTAGGTACATTGTATGTACAGTATTACCAGGTGCCATTGCTTCTAGGCCTTCTCAGCAGACAGAGGAGGAAGTAGCTATTGGTAAATATATACACACACATACATAATAATATGTTCATTATGTTTTGATGAATATGTTGTATTAATCATAAACATAACTTATTTACAAAAACTACAGGATGCATGATTTTTTCCCCTCAAACTTTTTATCTACAAGGAGTCTTTGATTTTATTCCCTACTGTTCAATTCTACTTAGTACCAAATATGCTTATTATTACTCAAATGAATAAAGAGCAATTTAAGAGCAATTCCTAAATATTTTAAGCATAAATTAATTTTAAATAAGAGAACTGCCCTACGTTACAATTTCCTATATAAACTGATGATTCTTCATAAAAACTTGGCCCAGATTTTTCTTTTATATATATAACCAGTTGGAGGTAGGCTCAATTAGGAGACTGAAAGTTGTATGAGAGGTATTATTGATGCAATATAAGCAATGACTATGATTATATTGCCAAAGACAAGACTGCTTATGAATTTCTGGCAATGTAGACTCTTCTTGGTGATGCAGACTCCTCCTCAGACTTATTTTTATTCATTTTTTCATTTACTGAACAAATCTCTCTGTTTCACAGTGCTGGATATATGCCAACCTTCCAGGGAAAGGTATGACAGGAAAAACATAAAGTCCTTTAGGAGTGGAAAGAAAGATAAAATGCTGGCAGAGGTGGATGCATGTTAGGTAAAGTTGAATTGCTTTAAGTATATCCATGCTAGATCAGGGTTAAGTCCCAAACATATGTATACCATCCATCCTATTTAAACCCTGGAAACATCAGTGTCCAACTTGCAATAAATAAATAAATAAATAAATTGTGACAGAGAGAGAGAGAGAGAGAGAGAGAGAGAGAGAGAGAGATTTAGCTGTAGAGAGAGGAACTGAGTACGGATAATAATTTATTTACAAAAACTCACAACCAAACATCAGACCAGGAAGAATTAAAACACTGAAATTAATACTTAAAAATCATAAAAATATTTTACCAGAGGCTTGACTAACACAATTCCAATATTCTGTTCAACTAGCATCAAACTAAGCTATGATATTTTCACTATTAAAATTTGTAACCCTTTATACTGATCAGTGCTAGATCACAGCAAGCCCCAAACCCATACATAAGACTCATACTATCAATGACTTAAAAGCATTAACATAATACTTTACAAAAGAAATAACACAAGGGGGAGAGCATCACCTACTTGCAGGGAAGGAGATGGTGACAACTATTCCCTTGTTGAGGAAAGGTGATGTAGTGTAGATTTGAGACCATTGACATTGGAGCTGGAGTATCTGGGTTGGAATCCCAGATCAACCACTATAATTGTAGGCAATTATTTCATTGTTGTATACTGTACTTCCCACCCAGGATCGTAAGTATGTTGTGAGGAGGAACCAGTGGATTGTGGGTATATATTTTGTATCTGGTAAGTGGAGTCTCTCTCTGCTTTCTGATCATCATGCCATACTCTTCTGCCATGATGTCCCCTCACCTTAAGGCCTAAGGAATGGAGCCAGCCTCTTAGGGACTGAGACCTCTGAAACCATGAGTCCCTAAATAAATCTTTCCTCTTCCACAGTTGTTCTGGCTGGGTCTTTCAGTTGCAGTGATAAAAAGCTGACTAAAACAATTAACAAGTGAAAAAACAAAACTGAGTCAAATATACCTTCAAAAAAATGATATCAGTGGGATGAATTGACGTGCTCAGTATATGCTAAGGTCCTTCTACCTGCTGGACATTGTACTTGGGCTTAGATATTACTTCCCACAAAGCTCTTTAATAAGGCTGATGTGAAATTACCTGGTAAGTTTTAATAAACTCTGATTCAATGTCTATTTTATTTCCCAATGAACTTATGTCTTATGTGTTCAATTTCACTATTTAATCAATAGTAAATGGAAGTATATTCTCCTGCTATATCCAGTGCTGGTAATACAAGGTGTGAGACGTTGACCTGAGGAGATTAAATTGTAGTAGATAGGACATAACATATGATGCAAAAGGGGACATGGGTCAAGTAATAATGGCAGGGATAGCAAGTATATTTCTATAGGTGTTGATAAACAAATGAATAATTATTGTTTGTGTCATTCTTTTTTAGTTAAGCATGACTGACAATTATTTTTCCCTGAACTTCTATTGGGTTTTATATTGCTTCTTAATGCTTGGTGTTTAATTGGTCCACTCTAGTTCTAATCATAAGTTCAATTTCTCTTATGATTTTGTTTTTTTCATCATTGTTTTATCTTCCTACAAAGCTTCAAAGCAACTTGAGTTATGGATTTTTAAATTTTTTTCTATCTCCATTTCTCTTGCATAATACGTTACATGTATTTAATAAATATGTAGAAAAAAAAAGTTAATCTGCATAACAAAGTCTGAAATAGATAAGTCTCTTTCCATTTAAAATATATATAGTCTATTAAGTTCAGTTTACATAGCCACATTGAAAGAAGATGTACACAACTGGTAGAAGGAAAAGAAGAAAGAAGTTAAAGAGTGATGAAAGGTTTACAAAATAGATCTGTAGAAAGCTAAAAAAAGGGCTATGCATGTCTCTTAGTGGTAGAACTCCTGCCTGGCTTGCCAGAAGTCTTGGGTTTGGTCCGAAGCACAGTGGGGATGGGGAGGGATAATACCTCGCTGTTATTTAGCCATAAACAAAGAGTTTAATGAGTGAATGAGTAAATGTTATTGAAGGGAGATGCCTGCAAGATTATGTCCACTGAAAGAATAATAGATCATTGCCCTTGAACTGCAACTAGAATTACTTAAACCAGAGATTAGGAAAATGGAAAAAAAAATGTAAGGTGGTGCTACTCAAACAGTGGTCAGTGGGCAGGTGGATCTGTAGAGCTGAGAGCCAGTTTCAACTGCAAAGTCACAATCCCCACCGTAGAAACACAGAATCAGACTCTCTGGTGGCATTTAATGAGTCCTCCAGGTGACTCTGATGGAAGCTCAAGCTCTTGCACCACTGCCCTAAAGGCTTTTGCCTGCGAAGGAAGAGTGGATGGTCAGTACTTATCAGGGAAGGTTAGGCCTTTGTTTCTCCAAGATTAATAACCTGAACAGCAACATAAATGATCAAGTGGTTTTTCTCAGAACCCAAACTAGAGCCATGTGCATATTCCTTGTAAGGAAGTGTTGTTCATTCAACCCACCCACCTTGCACTCATACTACTCACCCCGAGAGTCCACTGCTCTGCAAAGACCATCAGCATTAGGAGAAGTACAACTACTAGAAATATAACGATAGGAAGGAAACAAAAACAAGGACAAAAATGGGGGAACAGATCAGAAAAAAATAAGTATAAGAAGCATGAAAAATGAGTATAGAAAAAGAAAGGTACTGTGAGCTTACTTAGTCAAAGTTGGATGGGTACAGCTCATTGGCTCAGCATAAGCTTAGCATGTACCTGCACCGCCTAAATAAATAAAGTCGGAATTGGGTTAAATGAGAAGCAAGGGAAAGAAAGCAAAGAGAATTTGGCATATGTGAGGGGGTGATGGGAGACCTGTTAGTTTATCTCTGTTGGAAGTTAAGTGAGTCACTATGCATAAACTGCAACCATAGGTGGCAAATGAAATGCAGGCGAGTGACTCACCTGAGATGGAAATTCAACCAAGAGAGTTTATTGTGTGTGTGTGGGGGTGCCCGAAGGGGAAGAAAAGGTGAAGAAGAGCAGCAACAGCATGAGCCTGCAAGCTTCAGCTTAAGAAGGGTGGCTTTGGTAATGGGGCGGGTGCTGATTGTCAGGGTGACTCAGGAATGGGTGAGCAGACACTGTGTCCCTCGGGGATTGGTTGAGAAAACTTTTGACCTTGGCACCCTTTGGCGAGGGGTAAGGGATTACCGGATGTTATTCTCAAGAGACAGAAACTTAACTTTGGCTGGGGAGAAACCCGATGGGGGATATAAAACCAAAAGGCAAGGTCTCCCACACACCCAACATTCCTCTCCTTTTGTTCTTGTGTTGGAAGCAGGGCATCAAGATTGTCTGGCTACTTCCTGCTGGAGAGGGATGACCAGTGTGAAGGGAGGGAGGAATGGTCAAGGCAGGAGGACCAGAGAAGCATAGCTATTAAGGCCAGGATGCTGAAGATGGGGATTTCCTTGGGGCTGAAATCGATGAAAGCTCCTCCAAGCTGCAGGTCATGGACAGTCTCCATCCAATCCTTGTCCTTGCAGATGGGGGGAGTCAGCCAGCTGTCCTGTTGGAGGGTCTCCACAAACTCCACAAACCAGATGTGCCACATGATGAACCTAAAACCACCAAAGACACCTGAAGGCAAGGAGAAGAAGAGGGAGGAGGAGACATCACATTAGCTTCTGGCCAGAGGTCCCGTGAGAGGGACTGGCTGAGAAGAGACCAGCGGTCAGGAGGAGGCACACGAAAGCGAATGGGCCTAGAAACCCTGGGTGACAGGCTCGTCAAGCTCCCCAGTCCTGTTTCCGTTTTGTAACTCCATATCCATGAGGGTGAAGTTCCTTCAGCCGTCGGTGAGGCCTTCCTGTAAGGGACAGGTGTCCTCCGAGGTAGCAAGGAGCTGGTCATCCCTGAGGAGAAGCTGGTTAAAGATCTGATTAGACATTTTGCCCAGTTGATTCTGAAGGAATTTTATGATTCATGGTAGAAAGGCACAAGAGGAGAAAATTCTAATTCTGGGGGAAATCTGGGATGTCTGAGGAAGCAGACGAAGTCAGTATGAGGGAAGTGGACGCCAGGAGGATGTCAGAGGGTGGAACTAGAGTGAGGCCTGTTGGTGTGAGGGTTTCTCGGGTTGAGGAAGGTCCTCCTCGGAGAGGGGGGAAGGAACCCGCAGACGTGAGATGTGGAGCTTTAAGGGATCCTCAGGAGTGGTGGGGCAGACGTGTTTGTGGGAGGACGACAGTGGGCAGTCAGCCTGGGCTCCCTGGGTCAGAGGTGGGGCCAGTTTCAGCCTGGCAATGTGAATCCATGAAGTCAGTTTGTCTGGGGATTCCTGTAGGCGGGCAGTGGTGGGAGTGCACAAGGTCACCCTGAGGGGCCCTTCCATTTAGGTGTCAGGGTAGACGTGTCACCAGAAGGAGGAGAGGTAATAGAGTTTCCTGGTGTTTCCAAATCTGGGTTTGGATAAAACTAAGAAGGGGATGACTGAGATGTTCTGGAAGCATGCAGCGTGAAGAAATCACCTCAGGTGGTAGGGGTGGGCGTCCATACATCACCTCAAAAGGAGATGTTTGAGTTGGCCTTTGGGGAGCGCCCGAAGGCGAAACAGGGCGACTGGGAGAAGTTTGACCCAGTGGAGATGAAGTTCAAGGGAGAGCTTGGTGAGGGTCTCCTTCAGGGTGTGGTTAAGGCGTTCTACCTTGCCTGAAGAGGTGGGATGATAGGGGGTGTGTAGATTCCAGGGAATGTGGAAAGCCCCAGCAAG